GTCCTATTAAGATCAATTTCTTATTAATTTATACATAGCGGTTTAATATCTATGTTTTATATTAATACGTCATATGTTCTCCAATTTACATAATCTATGCAGAAATATATGGTCCAACATCAACCTTCAAACTTTAAGCCCATGTTTGGTTCAAAGGAGGGACAAATTAAAGACATAGTCAACTATATATGATGGATTCTTTTGAACAATTCTGAATGGATGTCAGATACTCACATAAAACTTAATTAGATTGAAGGGGCAAATGATGTAAATAAATACAAAATAAAAATATTAAATAAAATTTGAAATTTAAAATTTTGTTTGTTTGGTTGTGGTCCGACCTATCTATGGGACATTTGGCGATCAAAGGTTAGATCCACTGTCTTTCATTACGATAATGTTTCAGTGTTTAAGAAAAAAAATTAAAGAAATATGAATGGTGATCAAAACGATGTATGTAAATTATAAGTAATTGATCTTAATAGGAGGAGTAAACCAAATAAAAAATTTCCAAAGTATGAGTTCTTATTGATTGTTCACAAAATAGGAGTTATTTTGAGTGGGTTGTTTCTATTTATAATTACGCCCTCTTTAAAAATAGATTTAATTATTTTTCTTTTGTCAGGCTTCTACCTCTTGTCATCTCTCGACTGCATCCCTTCTCCCTCTTCTCTCACTCTTCTTTCCTTTCTCTTCCCCGCTCTTCTTTTAGCTTTTCTACTCTAGCACACATGTATCTCTGGTCCTCTTCAACATGACCATTCTCTTAGCTAGTCATTCACTAATATACTTGTTACAACGAAATGGGATAAATGGTCTCACTTCTAAATTCAATAATCAATCCTTTCAATTGAGTAATGGGGGGTATTGATAGTTGAGGGTGTGAGTAGGGCTATCCATTCATAATACATTCTCGAACCCTTGCATTGAATGCTCTTTCACTATTAAAATAATGGTAGTGACACGGGTTGAGATAGATTTGTCACAAATTGACACAACTGGTTAGAAGGCTCTATGGCCGTAACTCGTGACAAAGTGGTTTTGGGATGACTTTGGCATGCGGCACGGATTCACAGATCTTGGCCTACCAATTGTAAGAGAAAACCTTGCATGATGCTAAATTCCTTTTGAAATGGAAAATTCTTTTAGAATTCGTTATGGCACAAAAACTCCCTCTTAAAAATCCACGTCAAGTTGAGCCAAATCCGTATTAAGTCCGTTTCTTTTTATGTTCTTGTCATATTTGAAATGGAGTGTTGCTTAAGTGTTGGAGACTCTTAGGTGCAATAAAAAGAACCATGCAGATCAGAGTGCTCGACATGCATGCTCGATCTCAGTGTTAGGCATGATGCATCAATCCCAGTTAGGATGATCCCATCTGTGTGACCCATCACCATGTAATGCTTTTTCCGTTCGGTGTCCAAGGAGGTTGGGTCAAGCCGATGGTGGGCCTCTCTACCAATGTGCTTGCCCCCGGGCCTATATATTAATCTGGGCCCACTTGGTCCCAAACAGTATCGGTCCCTTGGTGGATTTGAATGAGTCTCGCATTATTGATGAGGCAATTAACGTCTCCCAACAGATGTTGATGATGAAAACTTTAGGGATAACTATCAAATAGGCCCTCGTAGTATATGGAAAAAGTCAATTAAACCCTCGAACTAAAAACACCCAATTAAGCCCCTCAACTTTTTTTTAATAAAAAGGAGGGTTTTATTCAATCACACGGGAAGAGAGGAGGGCATAAAACCTGGCCTCAAATACGAACCAATAGTAAAATAACATCAAAAAGAGTTTTTGATACAATGACTATTCCGAGAATAGTTAGGAAGAGCTAATCGAGAGCTTTAGCCCTGAGGGGTCGGCACAGCTAGGGTAGTCTGCTGAAGTTTTGGGGTCGGCGATTATCGACAATCGCTCGACGTTTTTTTCAATCGAAGGAGAACATCGTGAAGGCAACGTGCAGCCATTGAAGATCTCAGATTTTGGTGCGGCAATCTGATTCGTCCACAGTCTTCCACGATCTCTCCGAGTTTAGGTGATCGCAGGGACAGTGCGGCAATTCTTGTACGCTTAAGCACTGATTCACGTTAAAGGCATTTTAACAAAAGTGATGGAACTCAGCAGTACGAGAGCAAGGCTACGGAGCGGTGGTTATGTGTTGGTTAGGGTTTTGAGACCCGATTTTCCGATGCTCTTTTTGGCTACTTTGACTCTGATGGTGATTGAGATGGGAGTTGTACCGGTTGTGTTTGATCCGGGTGGAACTCTAAAGGTATGGATCCCAATTAAAGAGCTGGCGATTTTGAGCATCAATCGGCTATTTGGGGATGAGTGCAGTTGGTTTGGTCGTCTCAGGTGATGAATGAAGAAGATGGTACGTGGATGATTCGTCCCCCTCTTGAACCTCCGCCACAGAGAAATGGCGTGACTAGGGGCCGGAAGACAACGCTTGAAGAATTGATCTTGCGGTCCCACCAGCTGAAGTTTCTTTCTTTTTTCTATAATCTATTTGCTAATCGTTATTTTGTTTTTAATAGGTCAAACAATAAGGGTGGTAGATTATTAGCTTGTTTTTCTTAGATACTAGTTTTCTGTTAAGAGGCAATCAGGCTGACTCAGCCGCTCAAAGCTCTCACATTTTCAGCGATTAGTGTCGCTCTTTGTGGGGTGGATTATTCTATGTCTGATAACGAAGTGACGGGGCCAGTGGGCTTCTGGTTAGGTTTGTCTAGAGGGTGTTTAGTTTCGGAAGGTTACTTTTATGGTTTGCAAATCTCTTGGTTGTACTGCGAGTTTCTGATTTAATATAATATGCTAGTTTCCTGTAAAAAAAAATACTAGCCTCAAGATAAGTTACAAATATTAAGTAATATTTGGATATCCTACGGCATCAAATTTGAGGATGCTAACAAAAAGAGGAGAGTTGGTGTTTTTCCCTTCACTAATGTAGTTTGCAGGCCGATTAAGGAATTTGTTCACCACTCTTATATTTGTGTTGCACTCTTGCATGATCTTTCTAATACGGGTTATGGTGCAGATTGTTGACCACAACTTGACACAATGGAAACGAATGACATTTGCAATTTCTTGGACTTCTAGCTCGATGGTTGAGACATTATAAGAGCAGCTCCTACACATCAGGAGAGCTGGGAGGATAGTGTCAATGATGGCCACGTGATTAGAGGTGTGGAAAAAGCTTTGACGTTTGTGTACACACATCTTGCCTTGATAGTTCCGGACGAGGAAACCTGTATGTGTGCAAAGATTGTCAACAGTAGCGGCAACATTCAAAGTAAAATGTCCATAGTTGGGAGGGGTCCAATTCTTAATGCAAAGTTGAAGATTGGGGGTTGAACGGGGGGGGGGGGGGCTTTATAAGAGTGTTGATTTTAAATATGGCCTCAGAATTAGTAGTTGTTTTGTATTCAATCAGAAAGGCATTCCTCATTTTCCACATATTCCATATAATAGTTGCATAAAGAAGAAATTGGCTTCGGTAGGTCCATTTTAAAATGTTGTCTGATATAGTGCCATCCAACAACTGATTCCTAATTTGAAAATGGGACCAAATAGGTTTAAGGGTGCGACATTGTAGGAAATAGTGGTCAATGGTATCAGGGTGGTTGCAACTTGGACATTTAAAAGGACCGTAGAAACCAAATTTCTGAAGGGACTCGGCACAAATGATTAACTTGTTCTTAAGACGCCAGAAAGACAGAAATCTTTTTGGGAATTAGAAATTGCCAAATCTGATCAATTTTTTTTTGGTCCGTTTTCTTCTAATATCATCATAGGCCTCTTTTAAAAACAAATTTACCATGGGGGTGCCTGTAACACCGGACCCGAATTTTTACTGTGAGAAATTTTTTCCATCAAGTACTAGGTTAAAGAAGGTAAATCAAGACTAAGAGTAGTCTTGATACATGAGAAAGTAAAATTTTGGCCTTAAATTAATAAAGGGTTATTAATTTAGGGTTATTAATTTAGACGTGGAACCACTCGTGATATTCTAAGTTTATTTATAAAATATTAATGTTTACCAAAATGATACTATTATGATGGTAGGGATGGGTCATGGACCCCAATGATATAAAGAACGACAACTAGACGGCCAAGCGGGCCGGAGTTCCTATCCGATAATTGTGAATCATTAATTACCGGACTGATAATAATTCGGAAGGCTACGAATTAATAACAGAAGGAATATAAATATTTTAAGAACCCAAAATATGGTATGATGGATTATAATGAGTAACTTGACATGTTAGACGTGGGTACTTTTGGAGGTACCCTACCTTGAAGATATTTTCGTATAAGAATAAACATATAAGATTTTATTTGTTCATACAGTTCGGACCACTTAAAAATAAGTGTAACATTTTATCAAAGTGTCACCAAATATGAAACCACATATTAAGTAATGAGAAATGACGAGTGAATGTTTGAGGCAACGCGTTCTCATTTTTACTGTTACTTGAACAGTAAAATACACGTTGGGCCCACACGTGGGTGGCGACCATCCGATATTTACGGACCACATATTATATTCATCTTGGTCTAGATAATATTTATATGAGGTTGTAAATAAATGTTGAGCCATAAAGTTGGCCTTTCGATCAAACGAGGTCCCATTACCGGTATAGGTAATTAAACAGATAACAACCCGAAATTAATTTCGGCGACCACGAAATTAAAGTGGGATAATATATATTTATTATAGAGGCAAATATTAATTGGAAGAATGATATATATTTTATTTGACACGATAAAATGAAATTTAATTAAAACAGTCCAGAAAATACAACTTTCGGGGCCGAACGTACATTTCGGGACATATTGGGATGACCTCCCACATGGGTGGGGGCCATCCCACGTAATTATGCAACCAATCAGCCGAGATGTGGGCTGGAGGATGGTGGAGAGATGCATGGTATGGGATTTGAATTGATTGGCATAAAAGGACATGGGTGGGTCTTCTCATTTACTTTGATTGTGAGAAAGGTGCCAAAGAGTGTGTTGACTTTTCCCTTATTCTCCCATCCCAATTAGGCCATAAAAATAAAGAGATAACCTCTGCAAATACCCCTCTCCATAGCCATGAACCGAGCTCATGTTTGAAGGAGGCTCAAGGAAGAAGAAAAGCTTGGAATAGAAGAGAAAAACTTATTAAACTCAAGGTAATGACTTCATTAGTATTTTTCTCCTTCATTTTAATCTCATATGATTCATTAATCATATGATAGACTTTTAATCTTGCTCTACACTTCTATAAGTGTAGAATAAGGGTTTGGAAGGTTAAGTTTAACCATGAACGGAGTTATAACCGGAGTAAGCCCAGTTCACCGGAAAACACCTTCTCGGAAGGTTTTGATGTTTATACAATATTTGGTTTATGAAACCTTGTTAGGTCTTTTACCAAAATATTCTAGACTTCTCAAGGAATCTAGGAGTGGCCGGAAAAGTCGCCGGAGCCGCCGGAGTTTTCGCCGGAAAATTCAAAAGTTGCCGGAGTTCAAACAAAGAAGATAAAACCTTGCTAGCGTCATTTCGAGGTGAGTGGACGACTACGTGTCTTGTAACTTTTGAGTCAAACGTGGGATTACCTAAATAAATTCATAATCATGATTTGAGAAATGATTAAATGGATTAAAATACATGATTAGTCATGATGAATATGAAATATGAAAATACTATATGGTTAATGAATAAGAGAAAAAGCTGTGGATTAATCATGGATATATTATTGTCAAATGTATAAAAATGCATACTTGGACTATGTATGAGACTAACTAGATTAATCTAGTATGTGAGTATGTATAAAAATGATTAAAAGTGTTTAAATGTGTGATTAACCATTGATGTGTGTTTTCTCGCACTTAAAAAGGATGTAGTAAAGTGGTTGAAAGTACGAGTATCGTCTCCACAGGGACGGACAAAAGGGAAATAAAGATTAATTAAACTTTAGCGATTAAAAAGAAATAAATAAAATAAAAATGCAATTGTGCGAGATTGGTTGATTGGTTGAAATAAAACTAATGCTAATGAGCGAATAAAAAGATTTGGTTTTCCTTAATTAACGACTAAGGGAACAGGAATTGATTCCGGGGTTAACCAGATTTCTGGCAGAACAGGCCTAATCACATGAATTTAATTTAATTGAGCCTAGCCAATCATTACTAAGTTCTTACCGCTCTCGCGGCGTAGAGTACAATAATTTAGGGGACCAGGCTGATCTCTCATGCGACAGGATCCTAAATTATTGCCAAGACGAGCGAGCTTACGGCCCCTTAATCGCTACTAATCTCTTAGCGAACGATTAAGTGTGTGTGAATGTGTCCTAGAACAAATTAGATCTCTCTTAATTCATTCTACATGCAATTGTAATTCTAGCTGCAGTCTAGGTTACAAGAGATATCAATTAAATTATTCAAACACAAATTAAACGGCATTCATGCAATTAAACCGACAAGAATCTAGCCATCAATCATGATTAACCCCTTCATCAACCCCAAATCCCTAATTAAACTACTCACGCCTCATAATTGACGAATCAAAAGAATTGGGATGAATAGAAATAATTGTCATTAATTAAAGAATTGAACTTACAAAGAATCCCAGGTTCTTGGATTAAACAACGTAAAAACGCAGGTAAAACTCGTCCCTAGGCCTCTCTCCAAAGTTCGTAACCCCCAAAACGGGGTATGGAGGCCTTATTTATAGAAAACAATGATTTCGGGTCGAATTAGGACAGATCGCGGCCAGGCACGGTGCCAGGCACGACCGTGCCTGCGACCGTGCCTACGGAAGAAGGCCGAATTTCGCGTCCAGGCACGGCGTGCCTAGCTGCCAGGCACGACCGTGCCTGGCCTCCAGTAGCTTGGTTCTTTGAAATATGCCAGGCACGGCGTGCCTAGCTTCCAGGCACGACCGTGCCTGGCCTCCAGTAGCTCCCAGGACAATTTACGCTTCAGGCACGGCGTGCCTAACTCCAGGCACGACCGTGCCTGACCCTATTCTTCACCTTTCCTTCGTTTTCTTGCTTCGAATGCTCCCGGATGCCTACGAGGTTGATCCAAATGCTCTTTCTTCATCAGAATTTCGTCGTGAATCCCCCGGTGACCTCCAAATCTCTCAAATCTTCTTCAAATCAACTCCAAATGCAATGAAACTCGATCCAACGCCTGCTAAACACAACTTGAGCCAAAATTGAGACTTGCAACGCCTTAAAGCCAGGAAAACCATCAAAATCCGACCCGAACACGCATCGAATGCGTGTCTAAATACGGACTTATCAGACTCCCCCACACTTAAGCTTTTGCTTGTCCTCAAGCAAATCGAACAACGAGACTTACGATAATCACCACACGGAATTTAAACTAGTTAGCATGCACACGTAGTTAAAGGGATATTCACAGGACAGACAATCTAAACCAATAAAATTCTTCCCTAAACTACACCTTTGTACTCAAGCTAAACTATTTGACACAATTATTCACAACATCCTCAAAGTAATGACAGCATACATAAATAAGCTAGCTACTGATCAGAAGGACTTGTGAATGTGATGGTGAATGGTTAATAATAATAGTCCCTTTATTTTGAGAGATAGGAATATTCTAACAAAGACTTAATGTATTCAGGAACTTTAGGGCTATTCTTAGGAACAAGGAACTCAGTAGGACACAAATTAGGAACAATCATCTAAACCTATGCAAAGAGTAGACATGGTGTACAACTAAGCTAAACCGTCTCGGCACATTTGTGCTTTAACGTATACTTGAAGTACGCGGAGGACTAAAACTAAATTTTGAGATAGCCTCCAAGTTCATTAATTAAATTCAGTTTCCCTTGTCATGTTGGCACGAGAACGCCGTTTCTTTCGAAAGATACCCAAGTCTCATCTTACGCTTTTTGACCGGGGCTCCCATTCTCTTTTTCGTAAGGCAAGAGGTCTAGCTATATTAATTTTTCGCCTTTCGGATTCTCACTAGACATTACCCCATTCTAATCTCGGCCTCACCAAGGAAAAATAGCAATTTAAGTTCATTAATTTAAAAGTGAATCCATGCCTACAATGCAATCCTCGAAAGTATCGAATTCCTAAAAAGTGACTGCTCTTACCCTATTTGGGGCATAGGAGCAATGCCAAATATGGCCCCTACACAAATTCCCTAAACTTAGCAAATTAATCCCTTAATTCCCTAAACATCAAGACCAAGTCAGAAATATTCACGGGTAAGGAAACAGGCCATTTGGCTATGGAGCTAAATTAATTAGGTAAACAAAGAATGGTCGGCTCAAAATGGCTTCTCCTAAAGGACTTTTTCAGGTGGGGTGGATGATTAATGGATTAATTCAATGGGTGACTAATGCCTTCATCCTTTCAACAACTAGATTATAGTGCAAGCAATTTAAGCCTAAACACTTCAAAAATGTTCTAAAAGCATAGTCAAAATGCTAGCCAGCTCACAAAGACACAGTTTAAAGAAAAATTTTCAAAAATTTTGCATGAATTTCCTATGAATATACAACTAACACCTGCGCATGCTAACTCTAATAAATCTCATGTAACAATCACTGCCCGAATGCCCAATTCACTCCCCCACACTTAAACTTTGGCATCGTCCTCGATGACCAAATATGCATTATGTACTAGGGGTAAAGAGGAAAGGGTCACGCGTGCTCAAAAAAAGATAACTCAAGTTAACATTACGCATCGAGTTCAAAGAATCATGGAAACTCCCCTATCGCGTTGGTCGGTCAGGAACAAAACTGGGTCTTGAATTGCGCGGCATATCATCCATTAAGCTGCAACACATCATGAACACAAAGCATAGCAAAAAATAAAGAGTTAAGTGCAGTAGTGAGAGTGTGAGTGTGATAGTGTTTACGGTACAGTCATCCAACAAAATCATGATACAAATGCTAGCGGCAGACAGTCTGCACATAGCACCGCGGAGCTACTACCTGCCAGGCACGATCGTGCCTGGAGGGAGGCACGATCATGCCTGCCCAAAATGCGCGTTTTTGCTCCGGAGGCACGATCGAAGGCACATTACACATAGGTAACAAGGGTCCGTGTAGTCCTTGAGGTGTGTTAACCTTCAGCAAATTACACATAGGTAACAAGGGCAAATGCAGTCCTTGAGGTGTGATATCCTCCATCAAATTGCATATAGGTAACAAGGGCCCGTGTAGTCCTTGAGGTGTGTTAACCTCCAACAAATTACACATAGGTAACAAGGGCAAATGCAGTCCTTGAGGTGTGCTATCTGATATGCACTAATTAGTAGTGCATAAGTGTGTGTTTTTTGTGTTTGATTTGTGTGTATTGTTTATCGTTTTATTTAGTTTGTAAACATCTATGTGATTTTAGTTGTAATTGTATTTTAATCATCATTTGTAAATTGTAAAGTAGAATTAGGAATTATGGTGTTGGAAAGGGAGACTTTGAAGTGAAGAAAACAAGAAATTTGACTGTCCAGGAGCAAAACCCGACCGGGTAGAAATCCTCACCCGGTCGGGTAGGATTTAACAAAAGTAAGGAAACTGCCAGACCCGGTCGGGTCCCCTACTTGACCCGGTCGGGTCAGACATGACCCGGGACAAAACGACGTGCCGAAGAGCACCAGAACGTGGAGAATATCTGATTTTGACATTTACCCGGTCGGGTATGCCCATTTACCCGGTCGGGTAAATGCCCTAGGGTGTTGAAAACACCTATAAATAGTCCCATTTTCCTTCACTTTTAATCAATCCCTTCTTCCATACTCTTAAGCTCAGTTTAGAATAGTATTTCTTTTATATTTTTATAGCATGTTTAGTCTCCAAATGAGGAGCTAAACTTCCATTTCTTGGTGTTGCTCTTGAAGCTTAATGATTATTAAAGTTGTGAGTTATTTTCTTAACTTCTTCCCTTGAATATTAATTATTCTCTTAATCTATCTATATATTAATGTTGGGGAGTGTTGCTAAGATGACAATTAGTTAACATCTCGACATTAGTTATAGTAGTATCTATTTTCTTCCTCTATATATTAATGTTGGGGAGTGTTGCTAAGATGACAATTAGATAACATCTTGACATTAGTTATAGTAGGATCATTCATATTTAATCTTCTTCCTTGAATATTAATTCTTCCCTTAATCTATCTCTATGTTAATGTTGGGGAGTGTTGCTAAGATGACAATTAGTTAACATCTCAACATTAATTACTACTAGAAACGTTCAACGAACCGATGGTTAATCGTTGATGGTTTCACAAGTAAGTAACTTCGGTTTATTAATGCACGGTCGTGGTTAATAAACTTAAGAGGGATTAATTTTGTTGGTTAAACCGAAACCGTTGTGTTGAGGTTATCAATCTCAATTGATTTCATCAAGGAGTTAAGAGATTAAATGCTACTATCAAGTCGGTATATGGCGGTGTTCTATACTTGACTGATAGTAAGGGTTATTAATGAACGGTCGTTGTTAATAACTACCCTCGATGAATTGGATATACTCCTCGATTGAGTATTCGAGAGGGGATAAGTTATAGATATAACAATGATCGACTAAAATGTATCAACAAGTGGAAAGTAGCAATGCCAAGTTCTTCTTATCTTTGAATTAAATCACATTTAAGTCCTTCATCTTAGTATTTAATTAATTAAATTCCAACAATACCAAAACCCCCCTTTTGTTTACTAGTTTTATAAAAAAGAGAATTGTTTCCTTTCCCTGTGGATACGAACTCTACTACGGTATACTACGTATAAGTGGTAGTATTGAATTTATTTTGACGCACCGTGACAAAGTGCACGTCAAATTTGGCGCCGTTGCCGGGGAAAGGCAATTAATTTTTCTTTTTATTTTATTTTAAGGAAAAAGATTTTTTTTTTACTTCAAGTATAAAGATTTCTATTTCTTCTGAGCTTTGAAGTATATGGTTAAATATCGTTCACTGAACGAAATCACCTACAAATCAAACCCCGAAATAGAACAAACTCTCGAGCGGTTGAAGAATAAATTCTCAAGCTCCGACTCGGGAGAATCATCAAGTGCTAGTTCTCAATCTAGCGAGAATGAAGAGCCAATTACTATGGCTCATGAAACGAGAACATTGAGGGAGCTCACGGCTCCGAATTTAGATCAACAACCTCTATGTATCACTTTTCCAACTCTTGATACGGGGGGTCACATTTGAGCTAAAATCTGGGCTCATTCATCTCCTTCCATCATTCCATGGTTTACGAGGGGAGGATCCGAACAAACACTTGTCAGAGTTCCATATTGTGTCCACAAGCATGTGCCCCAATGGTGTGTCCGAGGAGCAAATCAAACTGAGGGCCTTTCCATTCTCTCTGAAGGATACCGCAAAGGACTGGCTATTCTATCTTCCTTCGGGAAGTATCACCACATGGCCACAAATGAAGAAGGCTTTTCTTGACAGGTACTACCCCGCTTCTATTTCATCATCACTCAAGAAGCAAATAAGCAACATTGAACAAAAAGATGATGAATCTCTATACGAATATTGGGAGAGATTCAAGAAGCTATGTGCGAGTTGCCCCTATCACGGATACACCGAACAAGACCTCATTCTCTACTTTTATGATGGTCTTGTGGATCAAGATCGCCACATGGTGAATGCAGTGTGTGGAGGAGCTGAGGCATTGTCAACAAAACTCCTTCACAAGCGAGAGATCTCATCTCGGAGTTGGCCGAGAACTCTAGACACTATAACGGGCGGTCCTCAATCCATAGAGTTATGGCGGCAGAATCCAACAACTCGTTGGAAAGTCAAGTGAACGGCTTGACAAGTCAAGTTACCGACTTGACTTCTTTGGTTAAGGATTTCCTTTTAAAGTCCAAGACCCAAGAAGTCAAGGTCTGCGGTATCTGTACACAACAAGGGCATCCCACGGACTCATGCCCAACTCTTCAAGAAGACACCACAGAACAAGTCAACGCCTTGGGTTTCCAAGGACATCAACAATGGAGGTACGACTCATTTTCAAACTCTTACAATCCCGGATTGAGGGATCACCCAAACTTGAGGTATGGAAACCCTCAACAAGCCAACCCACCTTCTCAATCGAGTATGTCTACGGAAGACATGATTCGAACTCTTGCTACGAGCATGGGCACCTTGCAACAAAACGTGGTGCAATTTCAACAAGAAACAAAGTCAAGCATTCAAAATTTGGAAACTCAAGTTAGCCAAATTTCGAATGCTGTGAATCGACTTGAAGCAAGAGATTCGGGTAGGCTCCCTTCCCAAACTGAGCAAAACCCAAGGCAACAAGTCAATGCTATCATGCTAAGGAGTAGCCCGGAATTACAAGCAAGGGAAGTTGAAGAAGAAAAAGATGAGGTTGGCCACAAAGAGGAAGGGCCAACAAAAACAAAATTCCCTCCGTTGTCATCATATGAACCACTCCCTCCATTCCCTGAGGCGCTGAAGGACACAAGGAAGCTGGAGAATGATCGGGACCTCTACGAGACCTTCGCCAATTGTGAGGTAAATATCCCACTCTTCAAAATAATCAAAAGTGTTCCCCGTTATGCAAAGTTTTTAAAAGAACTATGCACAATGAAAAGAAAAAATAAATTGAAAGCAAAACAAGAGGTAAAGGTTAGTGAACGTGTCTCAACAATTTTTCAGAGGAAACTCCCGGAAAAATGCAACGACCCAGACATGTTCACTATCCCATGCAAAATAGGGGACACTTTATTTCCTAGGGCCTTGTTGGATTTAGGGGCTTCAATCAATGTTATTTCATATTCATTATACAAGTCCCTAAAACTTGGCCCTATGCATGATACCGGGGTAGTAATCCAGTTGGCGGATAGGTCTAGCACGTACCCAAAGGGTGTCGTAGAGGACGTGCTAGTAAAAGTTGAAAATTTGATCTTCCCTGTTGATTTCTACATTCTTGAGATGGAAACCGATAACCGAGCTACACCCATCCTTTTGGGAAGACCCTTCTTAAAAACTGCCCAAACAAAAATAGATGTGTCTAATGGTTCATTAACTTTAGAGTTCGATGACCAAAAAGTAGAATTCAACATCTTTGATTCTACGAAAAAACAAATTAAAGAACAATCCCTTTGTTCTCTAAATTTTTTTGAACCACAAGCACAAAATATTTTTATTGAGAAAAAGGCTAAGGAAAAATCTATTTTGAAGGAAGAATAGCCTCAATACGAGTTAGAACCACCTGTGGTTGAGGCGATAACAAAAAAGAAATCTCAGCCTTACTGGAAAAGGACAAAGAAGAAAACTGAAATGTGGCCAAACATGGCTTTTGAAAACGAAACAAGGGATGTTCACGATCCCACATAAAACAGAAAACAAAAAAGAAAATAAAAAATAATAATAACGTCGTGCCGCGACATTAAATGAGGCGCTTCTTGGGAGGCAACCCAAGTTTGTACTTTGTTTATTTTCATTTTTCTTTTGTGTGTGAAAAAACCTTTCAAAAAAAAAAACGGTCGGGCCTCATATGACACCCGGGCGGGTATAAGGTAAAAATACCCCACCCGCACAACTCACCCGGGAAAAGCAGAAATAAAAACAATTTTTTTTAAACCCCGACCGGGTGCATTATTTTACCCGGCCGGGTTGTTCGGCTAAATAGCTACTGCTAGTCCTGGGCAATTAAACTCGACCGGGTGTTTGCAAATTTTTCCAACCCGGTCCCTGAAACGCACCACCCGATCGGGTCACCTTCATATACCCGGCCGGGCGTTTTTTTTCAAAATGTTTCTGGATTGCAAAGGTTAAGCCCGACCGGGTCGTATTACCACACCCGGCCGGGTCATCGGGTTTTGACCAAAAAAAAAAAAAACAGAGAGGCGGGCAACCTCTTCCGCCCCTTTCTTCCTTTTCCTCCATTTACGAAACCCCCCAATTTCCTCCATTTTCATACACCACAAACCTCAACACTCTGTCATTTTCCCTACAAATCCATCAAACCAGGGGCGGATCCAGGAATCTTAGATGCCCTAGGCTGAATAGAAATTATACTAGACTTAAATATTAAAGGGGTGGGCTAAATGCAAAAAATGAAAAAATTTACACTAAAAAAATTGAAAAATTTCTAAGTTGCCCTGGGCTTCAGCCTACCATAGCATGTACATAGATCCTCCCCTGCATCAAACAAACCCCTTCTCTTTATCTCCTCATCACCCTCTTCATTCCTACACCCACAAAACAAAAAAAAACGAAAAACCTTAACCCCCTTACTCCAAAAACAACAAAAGCCCAAATTTCCTACACCAAAACTAAAGAAATGACGCCAAAAAGGGCAAAGAGATTCATCCTCTTGGACATCTCGGACACAAGCACTAGGGACAGTGCTTTGATTAGCTTGGGGGGAGAGTTTCATGGAATACTCACATTCATACTCTTTGTTCTTTTTCCCAAAAAAAAGAAAAAAAAAGGAAAAAAAAGAAGAAGAAAAAAAAGCTTGTTAAGTTGAAAAACTGAAAAGGCAACTTAAGCAAAAATAAAGAAAAAATAAGAGTAAGTTGTGAGGATTAAAACAGAAAAATGTGGGAAGCTGGGATGAAAACCCGAAAGGGCACCTAGGCAAAATGAGAGAATGAGAGCAAGTATTTTCTTTTTGCAGGATCCTAAGGGTAACGGAAAAAAAAATTGAGGTTGATAGAAAATATGGAGTTAAAGATCTCTCTTTACTCTTATATTTTTGGGGATACTTTTGTATTGTTCTAAATACACACTTGGATGTTTGAGTTGATACTCTTGTCATTTAAGGACTTCTTGGACATGATTTGATTTACTCGAGACGAGTAAAGGTTCAAGTGTGGGGGTGTTTGATATGCACTAATGAGTAGTGCATAAGTGTGTGTTTTTTGTGTTTGATTTGTGTGTATTGTTTATCGTTTTATTTATATTTTAGTTTGTAAACATCTGTGTGATTTTAGTTGTAATTGTATTTTAATCATTATTTGTAAATTGTAAAGTAGAATTAGGAATTATGGTGTTGGAAAGGGAGACTTTGAAGTGAAGAAAACAAGAAATTTGACTGCCCAGGAGCAAAACCCGACCGGGTAGAAATCCTCACCCGGTCGGGTAGGATTTAACAACCGAAGAAGTAAGGAAACTGCCAGACCCGGTCGGGTCCCCTACTTGACCCGGTCGGGTCAGACATGAACCGGGACAAAACGACGTGCCGAAGAGCACCAGAACGTGGAGAATATCTGATTTTGACATTTACCCGGTCGGGTATGCCCATTTACCCGGTCGGGTAAATGCCCCAGGGTGTTGAAAACACCTATAAATAGTCCCATTTTCCTTCACTTTTAATCAATCCCTTCTTCCATACTCTTAAGCTCAGTTTAGAATAGTATTTCTTTTATATTTTTATAGCATGTTTAGTCTCCAAATGAGGAGCTAAACTTCCATTTCTTGGTGTTGCTCTTGAAGCTTAATGATTATTAAAGTTGTGAGTTATTTTCTTATCTTCTTCCCTTGAATATTAATTATTCTCTTAATCTATCTATATATTAATGTTGGGGAGTGTTGCTAAGATGACAATTAGTTAACATCTCGACATTAGTTATAGTAGTATCTATTTTCTTCCTCTATATATTAATGTTGGGGAGTGTTGCTAAGATGACAATTAGATAACATCTTGACATTAGTTATAGTAGGATCATTCATATTTAATCTTCTTCCTTGAATATTAATTCTTCCCTTAATCTATCTCTATGTTAATGTTGGGGAGTGTTGCTAAGATGACAATTAGTTAACATCTCAACATTAATTACTACTAGAAACGTTCAACGAACCGATGGTTAATCGTTGATGGTTTCACAAGTAAGTAACTTCGGTTTATTAATGCACGGTCGTGGTTAATAAACTTAAGAGGGATTAATTTTGTTGGTTAAACCGAAACCGTTGTGTTGAGGTTATCAATCTCAATTGATTTCATCAAGGAGTTAAGAGATTAAATGCTACTATCAAGTCGGTATATGGCGGTGTTCTATACTTGACTGATAGTAAGGGTTATTAATGAACGGTCGTTGTTAATAACTACCCTCGATGAATTGGATATACTCCTCGATTGAGTATTCGAGAGGGGATAAGTTATAGATATAACAATGATCGACTAAAATGTATCAACAAGTGGAAAGTAGCAATGCCAAGTTCTTCTTATCTTTGAATTAAATCACATTTAAGTCCTTCATCTTAGTATTTAATTAATTAAATTCCAACAATACCAAAACCCCCCTTTTGTTTACTAGTTTTATAAAAAAGAGAATTGTTTCCTTTCCCTGTGGATACGAACTCTACTACGCTATACTACGTATAAGTGGTAGTATTGAATTTATTTTGACGCACCGTGACAAAGTGCACGTCAGTATCATCCATCAAAGTGCATATAGGTAACAAGGGCAAACGCAGTCCTTGAGGTGTGTTTAACCTCCATCAAATTGCATATAGGTAACAAGGGCAAATGCAGTCCTTGAGGTGTGTTTAACCTCCATCAAATTGCATATAGGTAACAAGGGCAAATGCAGTCCTTGAGGTGTGTTAACCTCCATCAAAGTGCATATAGATAACAAGGGCCCGTGTAGTCCTTGAGGTGTGTTAACCTCCAGTAAATTACACATAGGATGAGGGTGTATGCGTACTCCTCGAGGCGGGGTTAACCCGGAAATGAAAACTATGATAGCAAGGACGGATAGTCCTCGAGGTAGGTGAACCTCGAAGTAATGATTTTATATGATTAAACGTGCTTGATCGGGAACGAGTTTCCGGTAGAATATTTTCCTTGGTCTAGGAATTGATTTAAACCATGTCCGTGATATGGGAGTCCGAAGGGGCCCACAGTAATTATATTTTGATATCGGGTGAGTCAGCCTGCGGGTGACTCCACTCGAGGGTAAGATATAGGAAAGGTGAATTTAATGAGGCTGTTACGCCTAAATGATTTGAAAGACAAACGGGCCCACGGGCCGGATATTTTACTCATATGTATATATATATGTATACATTTTGTTTTGAAAAGGGGTAGCTAAGAGTTATGCCCATAAATATACTATCACCCTATTTTGAGGGTCTCACGTGAGAAACGTTAGTTACATACAGTTTGCCCTCACCAGTACTTTTTTGTAGTACCGATCTCTCGGGGGAACCACCCTTTCAGGTTGAAGCTAGAGCTTACTTCCTGCACCCGTTGCTCGGGAGATCGATGGAGAGAAGACGTGGTTCGTGCTTCCTCTCGTTCTATTTTTAAATAATTAAATAATGCTCATGAAACTATTTTCACTTATAAATTAATGGAGCCTGCGAGCTCTTGTTTTACCCTTGTGTGAGTTCTTACTAAACACTTATATTCCGCTATGTGTTTGATTGTATGTTGATGTTGTTATGTATGTTTACTAATCGGTTTTGGTATATGTATCTTTCGGACGTCTTGTATAATTCGGTAAAGATGAACTGCGGTTATTCTTATTGGGTTGTACGATGGTTGTCCATGTGGCACAGACGCGGTCTGGGGCGTGACAGTGCCTTTCCAAAGAACCTCATCCAAAAATTGGAGTATACTGAACGAGTGCCTCTTGGACGTCAAAAGGCAAGGTCATAGTGGTATCAGATATATTCTGGTACGCATCTCGGATGGAGATGTTATGGTCATAAGTGATCCCAGGATCCAGGTCTTTAAGAGGTCCTAAGGGCTCCAATTTGAGTCCCAAAAGGACCTATTACCAGCATGCACAATCACAGTAGTGTTCGCACTATAATCATCTTTTACAGAGTACATCATTTTCCAGAAAACAGAAACATTAGAATTGCAAAGGGAATTGAAGATGTTAGCCCAAATACTGTTTTCGGAATCCACTTTCCACCAAAGTTTGAGAAAGAAACATCTTTGAACATCCCATAACCTGCGAAGACCAAGGCCATTCTCATTATTAGGAAAAGAAATATTATTCCAAGAACGTTAAATATGTTTGGCTTGAGAGGGATTTTTGTCCCATAGGAATATGTTGCAACGATTTTCAATCTCTTTAAGGATGCCTTTATGGACACAACATGAAGCCATGAGATATAGGGGAATGGTGGCAAGCACATGTTTGACCAAAATAAGTCTACCAGCAGTGGATAGGAGCCTGTGTTTCCAGCCAGTGAGCTTAATGTCAATTTTATGGAGCAAATGTGTAAAATAATTGTTTTTGGGCCTCCCCAAGAAAATGTTTACACCAAGATAGGTAAAAGGGAGGGTACCCCTATTCATTTTGGAAATATGTTTAATCATGGAAACAGTCTGAGGAGGGGTGTGAGTACCTGTGTAAAAAGAGCTTTTATGGGTATTAATTTTCTGCCCAGCATTAAGCTCATATAAATGCAGTAAAGCAAACAGTTTGTCAGGAGTTCTCTTATTACCATTTGAGAAAATTATCAAATCATCACCATAAGAGAGATGAGTTATTATAGGCAAACCGATGTGCGTTTGGTAAGGTTTACAGCCCCCAAAACTATACAAGTAATTGAGATTCCAAGTCAAAACTTCAGAAACAATAATAAATAGGATAGGGGAGAGAGGATCACCTTGTTTCACCCCTCTGGAGGGGTTGAAAAAGCCCGTGGGAGTGCCATTTATGAGAATAGAGAACCAAGTACCGCTTAAATTGTTCATAATCAATTTGATGAAATTGGGATGAAACCCAAATTTGTTAAGCACAACACTAAAAAAAGGCCAAGAGATGCGGTCAAAGGCTTTGACCATATCTAGTTAAAAAAAACATTGTGACCATTGACTTTCTTGGAAAGGCAGTTAGAGAGCTCCTTAATAGCGAGAATGGAGTCAGAAATTTCCTTTCCTTTTTGAAAAGCACTTTGTTCAGGAGAGATCAATTTGGGAAGTAAAGGGGTCATACGATTTGTTAAGATCCTGGTGAAAATTTTGTTAATAAAGTTGCTTAAACTGATCGGCCTGAACTTTTGGAAAGTAGCAGGTTGGTACTCTTTTGGAATGAGGATAATGTTCGTGTGACCAACACTTTTAGGAATCGGAACACCACAAAAAAATTCCTTAATAGCCATCAGGAGATCATGTTGAATAATATCAAAACATGCATGATAAAAGTAGCCACCAAAACCGTCAGGTCCTGGCGCACTCGCTTTCTTAAGCTGGAAAACAGCCTCCTTTACCTCAACCATATTAATGGGAGCCAGGAGGTTAATATTATCTTCAAGAGTGATAATGGAAGGAACCTGCTCAAGAATTTGCTCATAGGATTGGGTGGTGGGGTGATCCTCATCAGTGAGTAGATCGCCGAAAAAATCCACAGCTAATTTCCCAATTTGGCCAGGATTATCAATCCAGTTACCATTAGGGTCCTTGATTTTGTGAATATCCAGCTTCAGATGTTTGGAGTTAACACATGAGTAACACAATTTGGTATTGGCATCCCCCTCCTAAATCCATTTAACACTAGTTTTCTTTTATAAAAAGTAGTAACATCTTTTTGTTTAAGTATGAAATTGGCCTGGGCTTTCTTGTAAGAGAGAAGGTTTTCAACTGCATCACTAGATAGCAGTTAATTTTCCTTCTCAATAAGGCCAGCTTCAACCAGATTAAGATTATGAAAGATATTACCAAAAGAATTTGTATTCCAAAGTTTAAGGGCTTTTTAAGTCTTTTAATCTTTTGAGTGAAAAGGAACATGCCAAAACCATCACAGGGGGCAGACCAAGATTTTTTTTTACAATATCCATAAACTGTTGTGGTTAAGCCACATTTGTTGAAAGCGAAAACCAGAAGTGGGATGGGGGTGATTGGTCTTGATTTGAAAATGGAGAGGTGAGTGATGAGAAAAGTCGATAGGAATTTTAGTGCAGCCAAAGGAGAGATTGGAGTTAAGGAGGGTGTGATTAATTAAGATTCTATCCAGCATTTTAAAAACAGTCCCCCCCATCCCCCTTCTTCTACTCATCCAAGTAAAGGATCCACCAATAAGAGGGATGTCCGAAAGGGCATTATTTTTAATGAAGGAATTAAAATCCTCAATAGAATGTTTATTGTGAGTAGCAGAACCTTTGTATTCCTCCGAATTACGAATCGTGTTAAAATCTCCTCCCATGAATCAAGGCTGAGGGCCTAGGTTACTCTGGAAATTAGAGAGGTCCTCCCAGAGACCTTTCCTTTGCATTCTGTCACAACTGGCAAATATCAAAGAGAGATTAACAAAATAATTAAGTGCAATGTGAGTAATAAGGATGTTAATACACTGAGGGGTTTCAGATAAGATAGTGTAAGGAATAAATGTATTTAGATTTTGATGATGCTATAGGATTAGAATTTTAAAGTACCCCCAAATCAGATTTTATGTATTAGAATTTTCTGTTGTAAGTTTTAGTGTAGTCGACGATCAGAGTTGCTCTATTTTGGATCAGATCTGAAGTGCATCAGAACTGCTCGACCAGACTTGCTCTATGAGAACTGCCCCATCAGAGTTCTCTTAGCAGAAGTCCATCAGAGTTGCACCATGAGAGTTGCTGATAAACTTGGACATCTGATAACCGATGAGAACTACAAATCAAAGGTACTCATCAGCGGACATATCAGAGTCAGAGTTAGAGCTCTATCCGGGATCAGAAAGCCATCAGAACTCAACTCATCAGAAGGCAATCAGAATCCAACACATCAGAAGAGCCTGATCAGAACTCGACTAACACTTAGAAGATTTCAAGCAACATCCAACAGCTATGAATCCAACGGGTAAAACATCCAACGGCTAGAAGACTGTGCACGAAAGGAAAGCATTTAATGCACATTAAATGAGCCTGATACGCTGAAGGATTGATTGCAAATGATTGACCAAAGAATCCGGGAAGATATATTATAAAAATAGAAACCTTCCAAAACGGTGGTCAAATCAACAGTACGCGCATTTAATGCAGTTGTCTCCTCCTCCAACGGGTAGACAACCTCAGTATATAAGCTACACTCCGAAGAACAGAAAAACAACTTTGCTACAACTTTTGCTCAACAAAAGTTTCAAGCTTTCTTGAGATTCAAACTCCACAACACAAGAACAAGAAAAAGCCTACGTTGGGAAGATTCAAATCTCACAATCTCTCATCCCCAATAAGAGCAAAGTTCATCCTGTTCTTCAACACTTCAAGAACTTCAACTACATATCTCTTGTAACGAAGCAAGTTGGAGAAAACTCTGTTTTCAGAACATCTTCTGAAAAGAAGGGCGTCCAAGTAACTGCAGTAGTGAAGTGGTGATACTTCCGGGAAGCTGAGTGAAAGGACCAGCCATCAGGACGTGGAATTGCATCCTGGGTGGCATCTAGGCTTGAAGAAGACGAGGAGTGCTTCTTAAGTGCTAGGAATTAGCTTTGTAACTGATCTACTTCAAAGCTAGTGGAACAGTGGACTAGAGGAACGAGTTGTTCCTTGAACCACTATAAAATATCCGGTGTCATTTATTTTACTGCAATTTTCATTTCTGCACTTAGGATATTAACTGATTAACTCTAAGACTTGGAATCTGTGTTCAGCAGATCTTGTTTTAAGAGCTATCAGAAAGGCATTTGCCTTAGTGTTTCTGAGGCTACCCGGACAGATCAGAATCCGCTGCCAAGGCCAGTTCTGATATCAGAACCAGCCTATCTCTGTCATCAGAATCAGACCTTCTCTGATAAGTCACTTTTGACTTAGAGAAAATTTGAAAAACCAACCAGTCTATTCACCCCCCCCCCCCCTCTAGACTGGTTACCATATTAAACGGGACCAACAAGTGGTATCAGAGCCCCCTTGTTCTTGTAATCTTTTAGGTTACTCTCTGAACAAAAGATCCACTTGTTCTTAGCCTCTATTTACTTACTATTATGGATAACTCTCTTGCAAAGCACCTCATGTTTTCAGATCAGAAGTATGATGACTGGAAGATCAGAATGAAAGCACACCTCTGCGCTCTTCATGATGAAATGTGGGAAGTCCTTGAAGAAGGACCTTTCACCAAATTTATGAAGGTAAATTCTGAGCATACTATTGACAGGACTCAGCCTGAGATGATTGAGAAAGCCAGATCAGAATGGACAAAGGAAGAGAGGAGACAGTACAATCTTGACAATATTGCCAAAGATATCCTCTACAAAGCCATTGACAACAGATACTTCAACAGAATCAAGAAGTGTCGAACTGCCAAAGAAATATGGGACAAACTTGATCTCATAGGAGCAGGTGATGAACAAGAGAGAGACAACAAACTGACAATAGCTATGAAGAAGTTTGATGACTTCAAACTTCTACCTGAGGAATGCATAGCTGAGATGCATGCCAGACTTCTGATTCTTACCAGTGAGATATCCGAGCTTGGGAAGG